CAATTCATATACTTAATAACCTTATTAAAGATGCATCATGTAACAACAAACCAATTTAGCTCTTATCTCAAGATATAAGTAAAGCATATAATTCAGTTAATCTTACTTTTCAAAAATCTTTACAATGTCTTGCTCTTCCTAACTTTATAATAAATGCTATTACTAACATCCTTTATAATTAACAAAATCAAGTCATTACAAATTTTGAACTTAATCTATTATACTCTGTACACAATAGCATTGATCAGAGTAAAACTATCACTTCTTTCTTATAGAGAATCTATTACAACCTACTTATCTTATACATTTATAACAACTTCAATGGCTACACTACACAAGTCTCTTAACTAACTAATCTAAACATCAAACATATAATAAGCTTAGCTCATACTGCTTAGTTCTTGCTTACATAAATGATACTTTTTAAATTACATCCTTACAACAAGAACTATCACAAATCCTTTCTACAGTAAATCATTCTTTAATATGACTAATATACAAATCAACCCATTCAAATATGTACTTACAACCAATAACAAACAAACTAACTATATTCTTATTATATACAACAACCATCCTCTCAATCTTCATTTATCAAACAAACCATTTAAATTTTTTGGATGTTAGTTTACACTTAATAACAAACAAGCCAAACAAACCAAACTTATTACTACAGAATTATCACATCTTGTTAAAATCACAAGTACCAAACAAATTACTGATACACATGCATGTTATATTATCAACATTGTCATTATTTCTATAATCGAATATCAACTATATAACATTGTTCTTAATCAATACACATGTAACAAAATGCTTACAAGTCACATAGAATTTGTTAAAAGTAAAGCCAAACTTAGTCACACAATTTCCACTAGCATATTACTTCATCTCCAGTTATATAATATCTGTAATATATGGAACATTTAACTACAACATCATATTACAAACTTTATCAAAAGACTTAATTCTTCTGATCTATTAGGAATAAGTACTCACATTAGGCTTTAGCAACTTCAGAACAACCTGTAGTCATTTACTAGTATTCTGATATATGATAATCCTATTATTGATGGGCCTAACAAATATACTATTAATTTTAAAATTATCCAACTCTTTAACCATCTTGATATTACATTTTCATCTAATCCATAATATAATATTCTATATACTGTTTAAGAAGAATCTATTTCACTTGAATCATTACTTTCATCACATCCAAAATACTTAACCTTCAAAAAACAATTTAGATACCATTGTATCCTTTACTTAGATCAACTAACTACATTTGACAACTCATGTTTTTTAGACTAGAAACACATATTTACATATATAAACAAAATTTCTAAAGGCAAACAACTACTTTGGTTTAATTATCTAGAAGACCAAACTACAAGTCATTCATACAACCACACTCTCTATTAACATTTACACTTACCTAATACAAACTACTATAGTTATTCAACTAGACACTTTTCTCTAAGGAAAAAACCATGGCTTATTACAGTACTTAATAATCAAATCATTATTGACAAAGCTAGAAGACAGCCCTCTTCTTCAGGAACCATCCTTATTACTTACTGGCAATGCTATATTGAACAACAATTTACTTGTCTATATCCACTTTCACCTATTCAATCACAAATATGTCCAAGTTACTTTCTTAATTCTTACACAATTGCTAACAGATGTATAATCAATATTTCTATCAATTTTTCTTCTAGATTTTTTGGTCGAGTTAATACATACAACAAAACCCTTAACTTCAATGCCAACCATCTTGATCTTATATACTTTATTGCAATTCGACATTCTATTCAAATTTCTAACTTTTCTAATATCAATATTACAACATACTTAATTCCAATGATATTTGAACTCAGTACTTTAACAAACAACTTTTAACAAATTACCAACTACAATACACAACTATCAGAACTCCACTTTTATGCAGATAGCTCTGTCATTAATCTGGATATCTCACAATGCTCTATGGGCATTGAATAGGCCCAAATTTTAAACAACAATATACTGCATACCTTTTAAGTCCAAATAAGATACTGGCCTTACTCATTTAAAGCTGAGTCCTAGAAATTGTACTATACACATATATACTGATTTTAGTTTGTAATCTTTAAATATTACAATCTTTTAAACTCAACTCATACTTTACTTTATACATATACACCATACTTTTCATTATAAAATACACTTATTAACTTTATTAAATCATACAACATTCATATTATTTTTCACAAAGTTAGTGCTTATCAGGATAATCAGTACAATAACTTTGCAGACCAACTCACATGCAGTCATTACAATTTGTCATATCTTATCTTTATGCCCTACAATATTTACAACTCTGCATATACTTTAAATTTTGAAAACTTTCCCTTAGAATTACCTATCTGTTACAGTATCTGTACAATATGTCATGTACATATTTATGCATTATAGATTACACAAAACCACTTTCAAAAATAGTACAAAATCCTTAACCAAGTTAATTGGCAAGCTACCTGGCTATACATTAATAATAATTAAAAAATTTCAAACTTCTCACACAGCTTTCAGTCCTCTACTCTTAAATCCTTTAGAATTAAAATTCTATTAGATAATTTTCCTATTCCACACATTTTATACAAATAATATCACTCACATTCACCTACTTGTTACTAATGTTATTAAATCAGTTCTCATCTCTACTGGACAATCTGTTCATCTAATCAATTGCTATACAGCCTTATAAATATTTCATTACAATATACTTTAAATACTAAAACACTTGACACCACTTCAAATACTATAACCAATTTATATAACCAAATTAAGCTGTTAAATAGTATGACTATTCACAGCATATCAGATTTACTTTCAATCTTTTCAACTCTAATGAGTCTAATATCAAATGAACTTATTAACATTATTGCAAATCTGTTATCCAAAAAAGTAGTTACAACACTTGTTAACAAGTTTTTACTTTGTCTTAACCAACAAATTTATTACAAAATCTGGATCCTATATTGTATCTCAAGATCTACAGCTCAAACTCCTGAATATAACATATCTTCAAATACTGCTTCACTTTCATCACATTCTCTTCTACTCAATTCTATTAGTTCAAAAATAAACTCCTAGTATATCCAATAGATTAAATATCAAACTAATTCTCTATACATAATTACTAACACTCAAATCTAGGTGAGTCTTGGCCACTTCGGTTGGTTTAGATCATAGATAAATTAGTCTGAATTTCTATTTTTTCTATAATATTTTAAAAGCAGAATTGTACTTCATATAAAATCTCAATTAAATTTTCAATAAAAATAGAGGCATAACCTCATTATTAATATTAAAAAAAATATATATATTCTATATCATTAATAAAATTTTTTTTTTTTTAATGTTAAGGTGAATATATATAATACAGGATTTTATTGCTAGTATATATTGACTAGCATTTGTTGATATAACAGATACAAAGACAATTATAGAAAAAATATACAACTAATTACTTATATAACTTTAGTTATTGTTTAATTTAAGTAGTTCATTTAAAGATTTTATATTAGTTGCTATATCTAAAACTCAATTATAGATCCTTTATTTAAAATTCTAATTTCTTATCTATTTTACTCTACTAACAACTTTGGTAAACTAATAAAAATATATCATAATCACTAAGTTATATTTAACTTTATACTAAACTTATTTAAGCTTTCTGTATTCTATACTTATAGCTAATCTAGTATTGCTTTAATCTAAACTAGTACTTGCAATTAGAATTAACCATTAAACCACTATATCTTTGTAAGGTTTACTCAAATTCTAGTACTCATCTTTCTAATATCTTCTTTATTATCTTTTATTAACCATAACTAAAAACCAACAAGACTCTAAATTTTCAATTCAGATATCCTAATATAATATATCTTAGTATTCTTTTTCTCTAATGATTCTAACAACCTGGTTGATTATATGCTTCTTTATACATCTTGTTATTTAATTTATTCATCTATTTTTACTAAAGGTGTTTTATGAACTTCTATTAATCCAATAATACTGTCAAAAGTTTGTACTATCTTCTTACTTAGAATTTCTAAGTAGGCTTCTAACTCCTTAGTTTTTTTGCTTTTTGTGTCTAGTGAGGTTTGTACTAAATCTTATACAACACTAGTTGTAACATTTCTGTAATGTTACATTTTGCATAAATGCCCTAAGCTCCTATTTAAGATGGTGTAACTGAAGGTTATAGATATATTAATTCAACCAATTGACAGAATCGGTTACTATAACATAAATATAATTTCCAAAATTCATCATCTATAGGATTTGAACTCTAGACCTGCCACTTAAGAATTGACTTTACTAGGTCACCACACCCCTCTCATTAATAAATTATTATTCTAGACAAATTTGTTTAAAATATAATTTAAAAGATAAAATTTTTTAAAGTTTTATTGGTAATATATTTTTCACCTTAACACTAAAAAAAAAATTAGTAATATATTTTACAGTTACTATATAAAATTTTTTTGCAACTAATTATATATAAAAATTATCTACATTGTACTCTACTCTTAAACTCAATTATTTTGTAATGTTTCGTATTATTCAATATTATTACAAGTAAAATAAATTTAAGGTTGGGTTAGGGTTGGCTTTATGTTAGATTAAAAAATCCAAATATATGTAAAATTTGACGCTGAAAACTTTTGCATATAAGTCGAAGCATGGTTTTATAATAAAATCTTGAGTTATTTGAGTTATTTGTTTTTCATTTCTTTTTACTGTTATGTAAAATTGTATCACGCTGCGGCGATGCTAATAGCCAATTAGAGAGGAAACTTCTATCACGTTCTACAAACGTCGAGAAATGCTGAAATGTGTGAAAGGAACTTCATTATTTATTTTTTTAATTAACTACAGTAAAATTTATCGAGCATGAATTAATATTATATTACTGTGTAGTTTACGGTACTCGACGACTCCACATGAAGGCCACCCACTTTCTAGTCGGTTTAATCACTTTTTCTGCCTTGTTGTTATCGGCGGTTTTTCCATTAAATGCGAAAGGATCAACCGATAATCAATCGCCCCGTAGACACTCCTCGAGAACTTCAACTAATTCTCAAGGAGCAACAACCGTTACGCTTAAACATATTTATCATCACGGGTCGTCTCGATTTCCTAATCTTATACGCCGTAAAGACATCAATGAAGATTCCTTACGTGCGCGTGAGCTTGCTTCTGACATGACATTTACCCATACTGTCAAGGCAATCAACGGCACAAATGTCAAACCTTCGAATAAACATTCTGTAGAAGAATTCCAAGAAAAATCCAAGAACGAACAAATCTCATTGATTATGGATTGGGAAGACACGCCTACGTTGTTGCCCCAGGTATCAGATTGGGATACAGTGAGGAGTTTGGCAAAAATGACCTATAATGCTTACACTGAGGAAAAAGATGGAGACTGGTACGATTTGGGTGAAAGTTATGATTGGGTGGGTTTTGTTTTCCTAAGGACTGATAAAAAATCTAATCACAAACATTTTTATATCTAATATTCGTACCTTATATCATGTTTGATAATAGAACATCTCCTTTGGTTGGGATAAGGAAGGTGTCCGAGGACATGTTTTTGGAGATACTAATAATGATTTATTGATCATTTCAATAAAAGGCACTAGTATGGGTTTTGGTGCTGGACCAACCGTACCCAATGATAAAGTCAATGTAATTGTTAAATTGACGTTTTATATATATCATGCGTTATATTTTATTGGAATTTTTTAATGTCTTTTTCTAGGATAATTTATTATTCTCATGCTGTTGCGCTAGGGTTGACCCCACTTGGAGCACCGTGTGTGATTGTCATCTTGGAAACTTTAAATGCAACCTGGATTGCTTACAAGACAGCGTGGATATGCGTGATAAATACTATACAGTTACTCGGGTGAGTAATACTATATTTATTTTTTTGATTTGCTTTTAGACTTATTTTCTTTGTAACTTTATGTATTAGAACCTTTTTAAGTTTATTGCTGATGAACATCCAAAGGCAAAAATTTGGTTAACTGGACATTCTCTTGGTGGAGCACTTTCTGGTTTGGTTGGACTTACCTATGGCATACCTGTAGTCGCATTTGAAGCACCTGGAGAAAGATTACCAGCCCGAAGACTGCATTTACCAGGACCTCCTGCTATTCCATATGACAAAATGAATATTTGGCATATAGGACATTCGGCTGATCCTATTTTCATGGGCGTCTGCAACGCAAGTATACATTAAAATGGTTTATAGCTATTTAGACTTATATTGAAATTTCAAAAATATTTGTACCATGCGTTCGTAGGGTGTAACTAGCTCTTGCTACGCCGGTGGATATGCTGTAGGTCCCTTTTAAATTTATTACATTTATTTCTACTTGTTTTCTGTTTGTTTAAAGATTCTTTTTTCACTGGTTCTTAGATGGAAACTAAGTGTCATCTTGGAAAGTCAAGCGTGTTTGATGTGATTGACAAATTTAAATGGCATCTGAATATACAAAATCATCGTATTAGAGTTGTCATTGATTCTATTTTGTATAAATGGGATTGGGAATTTCCAGAATATTCTGTAGAGGAAGATTGTGAAGATTGTGGAGTTTGGACTTTCGTTGAAGATAATAACACTTAATAGATTTGAATAACTTTTTACATGGTTTTTGTGATGTAATATTTTATTTGGTTTTTTATTATATAAAGTATTTATATTATAAAATTTCTATTTGTACACTATGTGTATATAAACGGATATTGTTATTTCTCAAAATTATATTAATAAAGCTACTTTTGGGTTCTAACAAAAAAGATTCCTCACAAAGTTTTAGTATAAACTATGCCTTTTACCAAGCTCTAAAACTACCTTACCCTAATACGTATTAAACGGGATGAAATTTTGTTAATAAAAATAAAAAAAGTCACATGCCCTTGTTAATGATTTTACGTAATAGTAAATTTTAATTTTGTGTACCGCATAAGAATACGTCTACTTTTAGCATTAAACAAGTTTTTTATTCAAGTTTTTGCTTACAAAATGCAAATGTTAAGATTTTCTTTTAAATATAGTCAGACCTTTCTAAATGCACGTTGTAAGAACCAGCTCTGAAGAGAGGGTCGCAATTAGAAACATTAATAAAATCACAATGAAACTATTATCACGTGATAATTATAGTTTTAGTAGCCTATAAATAATGAATTCGATTGGTTAGTAACCATGTGAATGCATTTATGAAGTGGGTTAGACAATTAGCATGTATTTACAGAATAAAGAATGTGCATTTATCTATAAGTCAGAGACTACATTTAAATTAACTAATTAAACTTAGAAGAGTATTTGAATTATTTAAATTATATATATAATTGTTTTTTTTGAGTTTTATTCAAGTTATTTGGATTGTAAATATGTAATAAAAACAAATCTAATATATATTTTTTTTTAAAGACTATACTTTATAGTGGTTATTTTATTAACATATATGAGATTAGTTTATAACTATTTTTATAGAAATAAGGATACAGCTGGTCATATGTATAACTTTTAGTTACCTATTTAAGTAGTCTATTCTAGAGTTCTATACTATTATAAAGGTCAAACTTAAAAACAAATATCAATGTAAAGGAGCTGAATAGACAAGAACCTTAAGTAAGAAGTATTACCAACCAGGTCATTAAAATTGAATCTAAAAAAAAGGATATCAAGCCAATCTGATATACTAAGAAACAGGTTACAGTTCTATCAAGTTATTTGGATTAGAAATCTAGAGAAAAAGCTAAAGTATATTAAAATATTTCAGATATGTTATAAAATAGTATTGTAGTTTAGGTAACCTTTGTAAGAACCTAATAGTTTAATAGCTAGCTTTGACTATAAGTGTTGGTTTAATTATAATAATATCAAATTAGTTATAAAATAAATATCAAAAGGTTCTAAGAAGTTTATTTCAAAAATAAATTAGTTCTAAGATTAAAACAATAATTTGGATATAATCCAGTAAAGTTAATACAGTTTGCAGATTCAGAAAATTTAAAATAAAACATCTGAACTTTTGTGTAAACTTTTTAAATAAATAATATAAAAAAGTTATATATATAACCAATTATACACTTTTTTTGTAATAGTTCTATATAGAGTCACATTACTAAAAGCATTAATTAAAGTTAAAAAATCTAAAAAATTATCTTAAAAAAAATAATAAAATATAAATAATTAATACTAAATAATAATAATAATAATAATAATATATTTATAAAATAATAATAAAATATTAATAATAATTTGTTTTATAACAATATTTTATAGAATATAATAACTTAGCAAAATAGATAAGTTGTTAACTCTTTAAGTAACAAGTTGTAAGCTCAAGAGAATAGTAATACTAGTGTAGTAGTCAGGTTGTCATTTTTCAAGTGGCAGGTTTAAGGTTCAAATCTTACCTATAATGAAATTTGAAAATTAACTTGTATTATAAAACTGTTTTTTATCGATCAATTGGTCTTATGCAGCTGTAATTTAAATATATCAAGTTAGGTTCTATTTATTATTAAGAGCTCAAAACATCTATGTAAAATGTAATATTACATATATATAGAGGAATATTAATAACCAGTATTATATAAAACTTTAGTGCAAACTTATAATAAAACCACCAGATGCAAAAAGTTAATAAACTAAGAAGACAGAATCTTATTTGAAAATTTTTAAATAAAGAGATAATACAAACTTTTAACAATACTATTAGACTAATAGAAGTCTATAAAACACCTTTATAAAAACAAGCAGATAAACTGAATAACAAAGATGTATAGAGGAGCATATAACTAACTAGACTATCAGAATTACTAAAGAAAAAGGATACTAAGATATATTATACTAAATTATCTGAATTGAAAGTCTGAAAAGTCTGCTGATTCTAAGTTGTGATTAGTAAAGGATAATAGAAAAGATATCAGAAAGATAGATACTGGAGTTTAAGTAAACTTTACAAAAGTAAAAATAGTGGAATATAATAGTTTAAGGTTAGCTCTAACTGCAAGTGTTAGGTAACTATAGCATATTATATAAAACTACAAAAAGCTCTAGTAACAATGCTTTTAAAAATACATTGTATAAAATAAAATATAAGGTTCTAAAAGTATGAATAAGCATCTAGACCTTCTTGACTAACATGTATATTGGAAATAATTTAGTAATACAGTAAAGATTATAGTACAGATAGTCTAAATAGACAATTTTTCTAGTTAAATTGCAGGTATAACAGCTATATAAAACTATTAATGGACTACTTAAATTAAATACCAAAAATGTATATATGGCTAGTTGTATTCTCTAATATAAAGGTGGCTCTTTTGCAGTCTTGGTCATAAGTCTCTATATCCTAATTATTAAATAAAAAGCCTAGCTTTAAAGAGGCTAGTTTAATATAAAAAAAAAGTTGTGAGTTCAAAACTTACTAATAAAAAAATTTAGATTTTTATCTATATTATAATAACTATTTCAAATAATTAGATTAAAATATCTGTAATTATGACTATATTAGTATAATTGATAGATTATAAAACATCTATATAATTAGTTATACAAAGAAATACAACCTAGTATTATATAGTACAAACTTAAGATGAGTTTTTGTAATTATATAAATTTGTAAAAACCAAAAAAAAAACCTATTTGAAAAGATCTAAGCAAAAAAATAATATGTACCTTTGACAATATTACTGTAAAGACTAAATCTAAAAAACAGATACCAATACAAAAAAACTAAATAGACAAAAATCTTAAATAAGAGATATTATTAACCAAACTGTCAAAATTAAATTAAAAAAAAAAGATATTAAATCAATCTAATATATTAAGAGATAGGTTACAGTTTTACAAAGCTATTTGAATTAAAAATTTAAAAACAAAGCAAAAGTATACTAAAGTATTAGGAATATGCTGTGAAGTAATACTAAAGTCTAGATAAACTTTGCAAAAACATAATGATTTAATAACTGCAAGGATTAGTTTAGCTATAGCAAAATCAGATTAGCTATAAAATAAATATACAAAAAACTTTAAAAAATTTAACTTAAAAATAAGTTAGTTCTAAGATTAAGATAAAGATCTAAAGTAACTTAATAAATTTAATATAGAGCAGGTTCAAAGAGTTTAAAATAGAACACTAAACAAAAATATTAGATATAGCAATTGGTAAAGAACTTTTAAATAAACTTCTTAAATAAATAATATAAAAAAGTTATATATATAATTAATTGTATACTTTTTTTGTAGTAGTTTTAATATAAACTTAATTATTCAGAAAGTGTTAATAAAGTTAAATAATTAAAAAATTATCTTAATACTAAAAAAAATAAAAATAACAATACTTTAAAAGAATCTAAATAGTTTTTTATACTTGATCTTGTAAGTAGATATTGGCAAATTGTTATATACTTTGCAAACTAAAAAAAGACAGCTTTTGTAATTCAATATAGAATTTATAAGTTTAATGTAATATTCTTTGAACTTTGCAATATATTTGCAATCTTTTAACAGTTAATAAATAAAATATACCAAAATATTGTATAAAAATTTGTAGTTATTTATTTTAATAATATTATAGTATATTTGAAAACTTTTAATAAATGTTTAGAACATTAATATCAAACTTTTATTAGAATCAGAAAAGCCAGTTTATATTTAAATTTAGAAAACTGTAACTTTTAGATACAAAGTTTACTATTTTTAGAATATATAGTTATCTTTATTAAAATGATATCCAATTCTCAAAAAATAAAACTAATTTATAAAATCCAACTATCTAGCAATATAATTTAACTATAATTATTCTTAGAATTAGTAGATTATTATTAATAGTTTATTTATAATTTTTTCAAAGTAGTATAATTTTTAAATTAGCTACTATGCAAAGAAACTTCTTAAAAACTCTTTTTACTGATTATCAAAAATTACAAAAATTAGAAAAAAGTAAAAAAAATAACTATTCTAGAAGAAGAATTTAAAGTAGTTAACAAAAACAAACAGCCAATAAATACAGAAACATCTAATATAACAAAAACCAATACTTACTACAGAAAAACAAAGAAAACAACAAAACAGTTCTTTAAGAACCTGGTTTTGTTACAGCAATCAAATAAACAACAAATAGATAATTATATTCTAATATATGTTTCTAACTTTAACTCAAACATATATACTATGAATAAACAAAATAGTAAAACAGATCCTGAACAAACAACAAATATTCAACAAAAGTAATATTATTACAATCTTTTTAAAGTTTCTATACAATATCAAAACATATGAAAAAGTAGACAATCTGACATATTTCTGCTAAACAATATAATATTATATATAAACTCCAATGCAATAACAATTACTATAAATAGTAATAACAACACAAATACAATAGTAATAGGCAATCACAATACAACAAATATTCTAGAAAGAAAATTACAACATGACACAATACAAACAACTGACATAGACATGCAACAAAAAACTCAAAATAAGAGCTTAAAAAGTACAAACAACAAACTAAATACAAGTTATAACAATAATCAATTTGAATCAATAGATAATACAAACATAACAACAAATCAAATAATATATAACCAACAATAACTTACTTATAG